CCTAGACTGCTTACTAGATCTAACAGAAGTCACAGATTGTCTACCAGCTTTGCCAAGCCTATACTGTTTGCTAAATCTGATAGAACCACAGACTGTAAGTTCTGAGAGAAGTCAAAGACTATTTGCCAGATTTGCTAGACATGCATTGTCTGTTAGACATAGTAGAATTAAAGACTGTTTGGCAGATTCAACGAAAGGCATGGACAACCTGTCAATTTTTCTAGGTGTGATAGAAGTCATTGACTGTCTGTTAGATTTGCCTGGCCTACACTATCTGATATATCTGCTAACCAAGACTGTCTGCTGAATGTGCCAGAAGTAAAAGATTACTTGAAATATTTGGCAGACAGTTAATCAGAAAATTTTCACAGACACATTGGAAAAGTGGAAGTGACTAGCTCACCCGGTCCTCTCCCACATTGAGAGTCATGATTACTTGAGTTAGAATTCTAAGTGAAATAACATTTATCTATGAATTTCTACCTTCTTTAACGTGATATTATTCACTGGCAGTATCATTAATGTTTACATATAAATTGTTTTAGCCTTTTCGTGTATTTTGATCTGATAGTTCTCAGTTGAATGATCACTATTAACGTGGTAAAATCTATATTTACCGCTTAATCCATTCTTACAGAATGATGATTGCTCACTCTAAATGTACGTATATTTGAATCCAATTCATTCCTAGGTTTTCCCAGTATCTTACATGATATTCTTCACTGGATATATAATTATTATTGGAATGAATTTCATCTAAATTTCTTCTTGCATCTTATGTAAACTAGCATTATAGCCTTTATCTAAAGTATAATTAAGCTTCAAGTAAATTACTTTTTTGTCTTTTTGTACACTATGTCAGGGCAATCTTTAGTCGAATTATAATCATAATTCGAATAAATTGTGTCTCCTCTTGTTTGCCTTATCTTTAACGATAATCTTATTTGAATTATAATTATCACTAAAAAAATTTTTTTTGCTTTGTGTTATCAGCCTTCTGACAGGCTGAACTCATAGTCTGAAAAAACCTCATTGCCTGAGAGTTCGATAGTGGAAATATCTGATCGACTGATATTCAAGCTGAAAAACCTGATTTGAGGGAAGGAAAACGTGAAAAGCAAATGATTCCATGATAGTTTCCAATCAAGTAATCATCATTTTGAATACTTCCTCTAAATTGACATCAATATATCTTAACATGTAACTATACAGGTGTCAGCAAACATATAAGCGCCCAAACAGATGCACTTTTTCAGTTGAGGACATCATCATCAACGAAATAAGGCATTATTATTTTGATTCTCATGTCGTAACAATCTTTTGGATTTTAACGATTTTCGAAAAAATCAACATAAAATTGTGATTAAACATGTTTCATGAAAAAGAAAACAGTGATTGAAGCAGATTTTCTCTTGCTTATGGTACAAAAAAGAATTTTTTGAAAATTGGTAATAAATTGTATTTAATCACTGGTTCCAGTCACTGATTGTGAATTGTTGATTAGCTAAAGAAATATTTCAAGATTTATGAAATGAAGAGTTAGTGCAATTTCTATATATTTTTTAAACTATAATTATAAGAATTTGAAATCAAAAGAAAGATTTAATTTTGGCAAGGATGTCACTACTATTACATTAACAGGATTGGACAATTTTAACAAATAATTGTACTAAAATTTGGATTGATTTATTTATTTTAAAAGATGCTTTTGATAATACAAATAATTTTAGATATGTTTTGTATAAAATAATTTTGTAATCAGAATTTTTCTATTGTAGAGTCAGATTTAGATGAGTCCTTCAATCTTCTATTAGTATAAAGTTAAAAAAAACTTGTTTTTTCTTCTTTAAGATTTTGTTCTCTGTCGTTATGATTTTCGTCTGGCTTTCTAATTGAGATTTTTATTTATTTCTCTATTTTATATGCTTAATTTACTAACTAAAACGACTATGGACAGAGCGATTTTCGATTGTATTCTCATTTAACTATAAGAAATTACACGCCGCATTTGTAATTTTATCTTCACTAAATGTTCAATGATGAATCGTAATGTAAATACTCAATTTTTCAATAAAAATATTTGTTAGCATAAATGAGTAATTACAAATTCTTAGTATAACAGTAGAAATCAAGGTTATATAAATAAAATTACTTCTCTTATTGATGTAATGAAGGACAATAATCGATCATAAAAGCATGATTCATCTCCAAGAATCGTCAAGATCATAAAAAAAAAACATCAATGATTTATCGAGTTTCAGCTTACAATTATGGTTTCAATATATAGCAATTAATTGCCAATTTTTTAGCGATTTCGAGAACATGGATTTGTGTTTAAATGGCAAGAAAATGTCGTTAGTATCAATTTCAAATGAATCGATGTTAGTCTATCGTTGGGATTAACGTTGAATTCAGATCGTTTGATTCCATACAAATATTTAGATTTTCATTAGTCATATAAGTAAAGTAGATCAACATGAAATTGAACAAGAAACGATATATACTGGAGAAAACAGATTTTAAGAAATTCAATTTACAGGTTCAAAAAGCTTCCAATGAAGTATTTTCAGTATGAAAAATGGGTCACATAAAATCGATTACTTTGATAGTCATACGTCTATATCGCATGGATATTGTTCATGTTGAATTGAATGTCTAGAATCATTAATTATAAATAGCTAATTATTCTTGATTGAGTCGTAACAATCTTCTCATTGCGAATCATTTTTCAATCGAGTTTTACTTAATGACTGTACATTCAAAAATGTCTCGTACAATCAATCGAAATATTTCACTTGTCAAATAAAGTATTATTTTTTCATTGAGTTAATCGAAGGTGTATACTTTAAATATAGGAAATCGACAATTATATATATATATACTACAAGCAATTATGCTGTAGACGAATGTATTCTTTTTTTGGAAAGATACTTTTACACTTAAACTGCATTACACAAATGATTTAATGCGTTTTTATAAAACAAAAGATTATTCAAGCGCATATGAAAATTGCATTATCTTGATAAGAATCACAGTCTTTTTTTTTTGTTGATTTCTATTTTTCAAACATTATTGACACTGCTAACATGGCATAATACATTGTTTAAATCATGAAATAACCTTCTTCCAAAATACAATCGATTTTCTAATACATAGCCCTTTCAATCTGAGCCTCGTCGTCTTTCATTGCTATTATATGAGAAGAAACTAATCGAGCGATACTATTTAATGGTCGTCAAAATCTCCAAGTTATTTCTTGACCCATGAGTAACAAATGTTCTCTGTAGATGACACAAGTTTACATTTTCCTAAAAGTTCCATTAATTCTTATTGCAAGAAAATGTTTCCAATCATAGTTACCCTAATGATACTTTCTCTCTTGCTCCCTGTTTCTTTTCAAACATTTCTTTTTTTTTTCTCTTCATATATTATATGTTAACATTAAGATACCTACAATAAAATCAGTATCAACCAGAAATAGGTATATTTTACAACTATGATAGGAATATTTTTTATTTATTTTTCACACTAACATAAAAAGTGTGAAAACTAATTTCATATTGATTGATACATTACTAATTAACAAATCAGATACATAGTGGTAGTTTTTGGAAGAAATTTTTTTTTTAAATTGTCTGAAGCATGATTATTAGTCTCGATGTGTTAGTTCAGCATCACTTAATTGAAAAACAGGTTCATACATAAATGTATATATTATGAATAAAATAATCAAGGTTTCTCTGAATAATATCGAAAATAGAAATGCTAAGATATAAAAAAGTCGAAAATGAATGTGAGTGCAGTTGGACAGGAAAGAGTTGTGTGTGGGATGTAATTGTTTGGTTGTGAGTGAAAGGTAGTCATTCATATGCACACTGACACACATCTACGTCTACATCCACATGCACCCTCACTTACATTCCCATTTTAATCCGCATGTATTGAATACTAGCTGATTTTTTCAGTTATGTATGTTATTTTATGACTTCGGCATTTTCTTTCTTTGTTAAAAGCATGTCTTCGTCTAAGATATGATTATTATGTGTCAATATTTAATTTTCAACATTTATTTTATTTGATATTTTTATTTTCGACATTTTTACCTTCTATCACTGTTCATAAATTGCTTAAATTAAATCATTATCAGTTGAATAAGATAAATTATACTATTTAAATGAATAAAAATTGAGCATAAAACATATTCAAATATTTTTTTTTTAAAGAGAATATTTTATTTCCATAGATAATTATTTTTTTACATTAAATTGAACGACACAGAATAATATCTATCTGAGAATTGTATTATGAAAGTTTTTTCAATTTTTTTTCTAGATAGAAAATTCGCAAAAACTTTTTCCAAGGATTTAATAAGATCTATAATGAGTCTTTTTTTCTCTTATTTTAATTCTGATTATTAACACTAAATAAACGTAATTGTATGATTCGTTTTATTCTAACTTCTAATAATATTCGGCATGTATCTTGCCAAAAATCTATGAAAATCTTAATAGAATATAAATACATAAGTTGATATGAGAATTCTCTCGAGCAATGAAAAAATTTCATTTAAAAAAATAATAGCTACCGTTGATGATATAACTAAATAAAAAACTATTCGTGATTTACAGATATGTTTTTTTCTTTAACAATAACATTCCGTTGAGAAATCGATTGTACATTATGTCTGATTGGACAAAAGTGTATAAAAAATTTAACTGAATTATTTTCGCAACGTTTTGTCTGCTACGTAGAATCATAAATTTAAAAAAAGAACAGAACAAATAGGGGCTCATAGATAGAAGTAGCTTTTTTTTTTCTTTCACAGCTTACTCTTCCAAATAATCAGTACAGCGATGTCTCAAAATAACCAAATAATGACTACTGTAGACGTACCGAGTATTAGCATGTAAAAGAAATAAAAAGAAAAGAAAAAAGAAGTTTTTCATCTTTCTGTTAACGTCAGTGTGTGCGTGTGCATATTTTTTTACTCTTTCAAGAAAATGGGACATCATCCATCTAAACATCATGGTCGTCACAAGGGTACATCTTTGCAACCACACTCATCGACAACAACTTCTCAACCATCAAATACAGTTCGAAAATATGATTTATCCAATTTTGTTGTCATTACAGTTATTTTTAATCCAATAAAATACAAAACTCGTTATGATCATTATCAGAAATTTGAAGCTCATATGTCTCATTCTGGTGTAAATTTGATCACTGTTGAATGTATATTTGAATCAACAACACGTTTTGGTTTACCTCGACAAAATTTTGAAGTAACTCGTGCTGGTGATCGTCGTCATGTGCAACTTATTGCTCCATCTATTCTATGGTTGAAAGAAAATTTAATCAATATAGCTATTCATCGTTTACCTGAAAATATTGAATATGTCGCATGGATCGATGCTGACATCGAATTTGAAGTATGTATTAAAGAGGTCTTTGAATTTTTTTCTTTTTTCTTTTCAATTAAACTGTGTTGACTTTCCATTTGCTAAATGCATTATAATTTTGAATTAAAGTAGTAGGATTTTTATGTTACAGTGCAAAAAATTGATTGCTTAAGGCAAATACAATAAAATATCTTTATAGAAGATCTCTTACTCTTTTATTTTTAGCGACTTGATTGGCCATATCTAACTATTGCTGAATTACAACGTTATCCAATTGTTCAACTTTTTGAATTATCTTATTTTCTTGGACCTGGTGGAAAAAAAGAGATATTGCGTCGTGATTATTCATTTGGTTATTCGATTAGAAATAAGAAACTAATTGATCCAAGACGCTATAATGAATGGTATCCTCATCCAGGTTATGCATGGGCAATGCATCGTTCAGTATTTAATTCAATGGGAGGTCTTCTCGATTTTTGTATCATTGGATCGGCTGATTTACATTTTGCTTTTGCACTTTTACATCGTATTGAAGAAACACTTCGACCCGGTTTACATCAAGATTATAAAAAATTAGCTATGATGTGGGGAGATCGAGTTGCTAAAGTGGCAAACAACGGTGAAAATGTTGGCTATGTACCGACTAACTTGTGGCACTATTGGCATGGAGAAAGAAATGACAGAAATTATGTTGATAGATGGTAAGTGTAAGAAAAAACAAACTTTCTATGAAAACTTCTTTGATCGTCACATGTGACAAAACAATATATCTTCGAGAACATTTTTATTTTAATTATCCAATAAAAGATTACATGATCCATTTTTGTCTTAGGTCAATAATTGAAAAATATCAATATTCACCACAAAATGATTTACAAAAAAATGACGATACTGGTCTTCTTCGTCTAGCTGACAAAAGTCATTTAGGGAATTCCGAAATGATTGCACGTATGGAAGCTCTTGAACGTGATATTATCACCTACTTTAAATCTCGTAACGAAGATGATACTGGAAAACGTATTCCAGCGCAACATCCATCTACTGTCAAGAAGCAACCGTTCATAGCACCAAAAATTCAAGTTCATCGTGCCGGTGTCATTAAATCTACAGCGTTTCCATCAAGTCATGGGAGAGGTGGTACTAGACCTCATATATGGTCTTCTGGTCCTGCTGGCACACATGTTGATGATGACAATCCGTACTTCAATCAATGTACTTGTCCTGGACATCATCATCCTGATAATCAGGATTGTCCATGTTCACCTCATCATATGGATGATCAACACTGTTGGGATCCGACAGAACCTGAGCATCATCACCATCAAGATGAGCATCATCATCATCCCGATGAATATCATCATCATAATGACTACCACCCAGACACCTGTTTACCATCCGAAGAACATCACCATCATCATCATACTGATGATCATTTTGGAGGAGGCCACTCGTCTCATGAATATCATCATCATGGAGATTGGAGCAATGCTGACAATAGCGGTCATAATTATGATATTTCGTACGGTGGAGGAGGATTCGATTATCATGGTGGAGGCGGATCGTCTAATACAGATTATGGTGGTCCGGGAAGCTTCTACTAAAATGATAAGTTAATTTAAAAATATAAATCGTGTCACACAAGACAAATCGATTATATTTAACTGATTTGTATGAAATTGTTTATAACTTTTCAATATAATATAATACGTCCAACCGATGAGAGTAAAGTTTCACTCGGCTGAATATGCCGTATAGCGAGTGTGTTTATAATTATTTTTATTATGTCCATATCGTATCTATTTTTTAAAATATAAAGTGATTTTTATTCTAATAAAGAAAAATTATTTTAAATAATAATATTAACATTAGAAATAGTTGATGAGATACGAGTAATTTGTTATTATTTTTCATCTTTTAGTTTTATTCGGCTATTCTATAAGGATAGTCTTTCTTATTTGACGGTTTTTATCCATGGTTATTTGTGTTCAACTTGCCATTAGAGAAAACAATTTTCTTTATTATTTATTGATGACTTTATTATCAGTAGATTAATAAAAGAAATTTCGATAGGCATTTCATTAATTACGAAATTCTCAAATAGAAATTATTTAAATATTATAATTTGTCTCACCTTGTGTGTTCATCTTAATAGGCACAAGGATTTCTTTTTATGAAGAATTTATTCATCAATAATTATTTGTTTAGAATACGATGAAAAAATTGTAAACTGTGTTCTGATGTAAAAGATTTCTGAGCGTAAATGAAAGTTTATTCATTTGAAACTCTATCAGAAATCGTAAACAACATAGGTCTTCTCATCAATTATAATATACTCTTTGTTCTTTTTTCAAGAGCGTTTTCTTTTTTTATTTCATCATTACTTTTTATCGAACAGAAAAGCGAATGAAACACTGCAAAAAAAAATATCGATTATAAACTTACAAGAACTATGATTATTTTAAAAACTTGATTCCATTTATAGACAATAATTCTATTCTTAGATAAAAAATGATTTGAATAATGATTCAAATTATTGTTTTTGTATAGTTTGATTAGAAAAACCAAGGATTGTGTAAAAAATGTTGTGCCTGTGAATGTGTTGTTGTATATTTTAGACATGAAGTTTAAAGTGAATTTTCTGCTTTGATAATATCGTACACTTATTTTAAATGATTTATATCATATTTAATCTTTATTCAAATATACTCTATTATAATAAAAACTAAAGACTCTATTATTTGATTATTGATCTATTTAAAGAAAATTCATAATGTTCGTTTTAGAAATTCATATTAGCAAATCAAGATGTCGCTGTTTGTTGATTGTAATATTTTCATTTGAATATTCAACAACAAATAAGTAATCGAATGGTAAATTATAGCAATGAATCTATAGAATGATTATTAGAAATAAGATTTTGAACGTAATAATGCTCTCGAGATTCGTCTCTCGAGCAATATTTCAAATTGTTTCTGCTCGATCGACAATTCCTGTAAGATAATCAATTAATAACTGTTAATTTGTTATTAGTTTGTCTCGTATTTTTTTTTCTTTTAGTCTATATCTCATCGATTACAAAGTTCCACTTCAAATTCCAGATCAAATAATCAACAAACATCTTCAACTTCTGGAATAAAAGAAATAGATGATAATGATAGTTTTCTTAATAGTCGTGATGCAGCACAAGCAATTGCTGATGAAGAAATAATCGATAGTGTTGAACAAGCAACAAGTAATCGTGCTGAAATGATTAGTCAAGCTATGAAAAATTATTTAATGAAATCAAGAGAAAAACGTTTGTGAAATATTTTACAATATGAAATAAATAAGTTCGAATTTTTTGTAGAAAAAGTACTTGATGAAAAAAACTATGAATATGAAATTGGACGAAGACATTTAGCAAGAATTATGGGTGAAGATCCTGAAGGCTTTAATCAAGAAAAAATTGATGTAATTAAATTCTTGAATGAAGTTTTTATTTTGTATCTAAATAATATTTTAGGATGCTTTGAACTATTTACTTCCATCAGGTTTACTCGATGAACGTGCTCGACCTAAAATGAGAGTAAGAAGAAAATTATTTCAGTTTTAATTCATTTTTATAATTTACTGATCTAGCCACCTGAAGAAATGTATCCAAAAGAAAAAGGTATTATAAAACTTTTTTTTATTTCTAATTGATGTTCATTTTATTTTATTTTATTTTATTTTATTTTATTTTATTTTATTTTATTAGCCGTACAATTCGATAAAGCTGGTCGACCATTTCATTTTCTATATTATACAGCTAAACAAAATTATTATGATGCTTTACATGTAAAAAAAAAAAATAAAATAAAAAAGAAACAATTTCTTCTTTTTATTTTGTTAAATTTCTAAATTTAGACGGTTGCTAATAAAATAGAAGAACTTAAAAAAGCTGAAGTTGTTATGCTTGCATCCGGTCATGAACCTGATTATAGTCAAAACGAGTACGTATTAAAAGTGAAACTTTTTTGTTCTTGTTAGAGAATAAATAATTGTTTTCTCAAAATTCAAGTGAATTTAATTATACACAATGGGAAAATAAAGAAATCTTTGAACAACGTTTCTTAGAAAAACTTGATGATGAACAAGTAAAATTTTTCAAAGTTTTTCTTAAGAAAAATTTTGTTTTATTCTTGATATAGTATAAAACATTAATAATATGTTTAAATCGTCTTGTTAAAAATCCAATGGCATACACAATAAAAGATTATATAAATTCATTTCGAACAAAATTAGCCGATACAATAAATAAACAACATATTGAACCAGTAAAAACAAAATTTCTTTTTAAAAAATCAAAACTGAAAATAATTTAATTATTTAAGTTACGCTACGATGTTGATGGTCGACCCTATCAAATAGCTACTGGTAAGTAAATTAAATAGAAATAAATAGTATTGATCGAATTTTGATGATGATGATGATGATGATGATGATGCATTGAAAAACATTTGATCTAAAAGAATTTGAAATTGATCATTTATTAAAATAGTTTCATTTGATAATGTTGATGTTTCAATTGATAATGTTGATATTGATGTTGTTAATTCATCTATTTCGAATTCTTCTTTTATTGCATTAATTAATGGAAATTTATGTATCGAATTTTGTTTACTTTTTCGACAAAATTCTCCATTAAAATCATCCATATCTAATGTCCAAACCATTGCACCACCAAAACCTTCATGTTTAACATATTTACACTTGAAAATAAAATAAATATAAATTAAATTTTTTCTAAAAATATTTATTGTCATACTTTATTTTTAACACTATCTGGATCATCATATCCAATCCATGTTCCATCTTTAAAACTAATTGGAATTTGATGTTGTTGATGCCAATAACGTTTAAAACCTTCTTTTAATTCTTTTTTACATATCTAAATAAATAAATAATTATTTATTTATTTATTAATTTTGAAAAATAAAACAAAAACCAGAATGAATATCATACTTCAAAATAAGTAAGTAAACCACTTTCACCTAAATAAGGTGATGATACTGAACCAGAACCACCACCACTTTGTCCAAATGCTTTTAATGGATCTTTACCATCAGCTGTAAAAGCTCGACCATAACCAGGAATACCTATATTAAGGCGATCTCTTGAACAACCTGCTTCAACCCAATTATACATTGAATTATTCTAAACATAAAGAAAAAAAAGAAATAATATTTTGAAAAATAACGAAGGAAATTTAGTTTTGTTTTTTATAAATATACTGTATTCAATTCTCTATCCATGCCGGTTTCACCAGGTCGATGAAATAAGGCACTATGGTGGCCAATTTTATTATACCACGAACCATATAAATCATAAGTCATAACATTAATCATATCGACATTACTAAATAAAGAAGAAAAAATTCTATAATGATTGTTTTTATTTTGAATAAAAATCTTACTTGCATAAAACCGGTACATCATAACCTTGTGTAATTAAATATTTTCCAGCTGCAACAGCTAAACTAATTAATAATCGATCTTTTTTAGATTTTTTCGCTTCTTTTTTAAACATTTTGTGCATTGTCTGAAGATAAAAAATAAATTAATTTTCTTAAGAAAAAGAAATTGATAAGAATTTAAAATATACTTTTGTCAGTAATCCAAAACGTTCACGATGTTCAGCTGATGGAAATTCCCAATCTAAATCGATACCATCAAAGCCATATTGACGACAAAATTTTATTACATTTTCACTAAATGATTCCCTGATACAAAAGAAAAAAAAAAACAAATAAATATAATTAAAAAAAAGAGGAAACAAGATTTTTACCTTGATGATTCTGATCCAACTAATGGTTCAAAATCTCCTGCTTTTCCCCATCCACCACATGAAATTAAAATTTTTAAATTCGGATTTTTTTCTTTTAATTTCATAATACGAGGATAAAGTGGCTAAAACAGTTAAAACAAAAATAAATTTTAATTCTAGATTTCTTTTTTTCTTTTTTTCTAACTTTTTCTCCTTGATAAATATTAATATCATTAGTTAATTGTGGTTGCAATGATCTACCATGAAGATTAGCAAATGCATATAAAATATGTGTACATAAATCTGCTGGAATATCTTCTGGATAAAGTCGAGATTCTTTCATTGATCTATGTGCACCCCAATTTGTAAAATAACATATACGATTATATTTTGCTTAAAAAGTAAAAAGAAATAAAAACTTTTATTTCATTTTACATTAAAATTATTTTTACCTGATAAAATTGAATCTAATAGAAAAATAAGATAGATAGAAGACAACCACATTGATAAAAGAATAAATGAATGTTGTGCATGACATTTGTCTACAAATAAATGTGATCGTTTGCTTCTATTGTTTAAATAGATGATTGCTTCTTGTTTGACTACACGTTACTATCTTCAAGTTAATCTTATGTTCAACAAAAATTTGAGCTGAAGGAGAACAAATTTTTTCTTTTTCCTTTATAACCTTTCTCTCTTTATTTCTATCTCTATTTTTTTTTTGTTGTTCAATATTTCAGCTAAACATAAATGGTGTACAGCAACAGTTACATTACGTGAAGGAATTGGAAAAGTTACAATTAAATCACCATCTGTTAAAACATCTGTTAATGATATACTTTATTTTACAAGAATTATTCATCGGTTTGATTTCCTTTTTTTTTGTTTTTTCTTGATTTGAATTGTTTTTTTTTTTTTAAATATGTATATAGTGATCAACTTTTGTATCCATTTAAAGTATTAGATCGTGTTAATTTATTTGATATTAATGTTGTTTATGATGGAATTGGTTTCACATCACAATCTATTGCAACACGTTTAGCTATATCAAAAGCATTGTGTTCATTTATTTCATCAAAAGAAGTTGAATATCTTCGATTAGGTTTTATTTTTTATTTTATATTTTGAAATTTATTTTGTTGATAAAATTCTATTTTAATTATAGCTGGTCTTTTAACTGAAGATGCTAGACGCAAAGAACGTAAACAACCAGGCAAACGAAATGCTCGACGAAAATATAAATTGTATGTAGAATTTTTTTCAAAGTTATGTTATTATTTTAATTTCGAATTTTTCTTTTAGTCGAAAACGTTAAAATTCAACAAATTCTTTTCGAAAGAAAAATGTTTGTTTACAACTAGAACATTTTTTTGTATTAAATTGTTTTTCTGATTGATTAAAATAAAATAAAAACACACACACAATCAGTATCATTTCACTTTTTATTAGATATTATGATAAACAAAGATTTTATTAAAGGAGATCTTGAATTGATAAATAGAATTATTTCTGAGAAAAAGAATCAATTGACTTGCTTTATATAAAATATGCATTTGAATTTGAAATATTATTTGAATAATAAATATTATTATTCATATTTAGAGAGACAAATAATTAATTTAGTTTTCAAAATTGATTTTGTAAATAATAATCTGATAGAAATGATAAATAAATATTCATTATATCTCAGTGTTTCATAAATATTACAGAGTTTTTCTTTCTATTATTTTTTATTCTAGTCTCTTGATACCGAATTAAATATTTCGAATAATTTTTATTAGAAATAGAAATGTTTGAAAACAAGAAAGTAAAATCTTCAAAATAAACTCGTGCTACGGTTGCCACCTCTTCCACTTTTTGTGGAAAGTTTCCGCTTTTTTATATGAAAACTTTTTTCATATGTCGAATTCGTTACAGAAGAAAACCTGTTGTTATTGAATAAATCTTGATCACTGACGTGTACAGTTTGCTATCATTCTAATTGATTGATCTGTTAAATCAATGTAACAACATTAAAAGTTTGTCTATGGAAGAGAGACTCTACTCTCAACTCTTATTTGTGAAGTAACAATACTATTCTGTTTTCAATTGATAGTAAACTCTATTTATCTAATTATTTTGTGTGCTTTATTTAAACAGAAAAATTGTAGATCCGAAAATCTAAGAATTTTTTTGTGATCAAGTGTTAGCGAGATGGTAAATGAAGATGAAAGAAAAAATCATGAAAACATAATAACAGTAAACCTTAATGCTGCAATCAGGTGATAATAAATATGTGAAAGCCACAGCAGATGCTTTTAAAAGAAGAAGAAATAAGGCTGGGGTGTAGATCTTCTCTCCAGGAACACTAGATCCACACAAACACCCACACATCGGCTCTAATTCCCTCACCCTACCTGCACTTCTATGCCCACATTCATACCACAAAATAAGTTTCTCCTTTTCTGTTTTGTTTCCGCTATTTTCCGTATTTTTTAGACGATCTTTCCGCTTTTCAGACTTCATCAGGTGGCAACCCTGATGTAAATATCCATATATATAGGGTGATCCAAAAGTCACCGGGCAGTTTTTGATCGCGAATAACTTTTGGTAGAAACAAGATAGACAGCTGCGATTTTCACCGTTGGAAAGAGGAGATGAAGACGCATCGAATCATATGTTGCAAGTATTTTTTACCAGGTTTTTCTTCAAGCCTTCAATCAAATTTTTCTGGCAACTAACGCATTCCATGAGCTGACTACGGCGATTTTTCAATTTTGAGGTATGCTTTAAAACCGCCAAGTGAAGATCTACACAACGGCGCAAGGCTGAGATCATTAGCTCAAACCATTCAGAAGACATAAGTGTTTTATTCCGAACGGTTAGCCGGTTTTTCTAGGCATTTCTGTGAAAAAATCATTTTTTTCCTTTTTTCTTTAGTAAGAAGAAAATCATTTTTCGATTGTTTTTGCGGTGGTTTTTTGAATATTGATTGAAAAAGCTTCAAAAAACACATTAAAAAAACTAAATTATATGTGATTCGATGCGACTTTATCTCCTCTATTCAACGGTGAAAATCGCAGCTCTCTATCTTGTTTCTGTTAAAAGTTATTCGGGATCAAAAACTACCAGGTGACTTTTGGACCACCCTGTATATATATATAATAATTCATTTTAATCTGAAACGATTGATCCATCTTTTAATGCATGTGTATTATCAAATATTTGCACAATATATAAATAACGACAATATGGAGAGCCACCAGTAATAATATTTCTAACTAAATTTTGGTCATCTTTCTTTAATGTACATATTCTTGATATTTAGAGTCATACCACTAAAATAGATCACAATTTATTAAAATGATAAAAAATACTTTATTGTAAACATATAAATTATCTTCTAAATCATCTTAATCCATTACATTATTCAAATAGTCTACTAAGTAATCGATATGTATTACATCAATAAAAATAAATCATAAAGTACGGTTGAAGGTTTTTCGGTTATTGGATTCTGACACTGAGAGAATATGTTACTGATTGACATAGTAGATCATATCAATACAAACGTATAGTCAAGCAAAGGTTTTGAAATGGATAGGAATATGGTAATGAAATTTAATTTAAACAACTTTCTCTAGATCGCAGATTACGAATTTTTTTCAATGCTATATGATCGTATTACGATTTTATTATGATAAAACAAGAATACGATATGATAAAGAAAAATTTAGTCAACATCAGATGTATAACTATTTGTATTATTAATACGAGTTAAATTGAATCGTTGATATAAATTAATTTTAGAAATAATGTGGTGATAATTAAATTTAAAGATGTCCATGGAAATATTACGTTCACTGCAGACAATCAGTCATTTATTTTAATCAGAATAGATCAAGTACGATCTAAGTGTGTAATCAAAATTGGTTAATCTTTATTTAAGATTCTTGAACCACTATATAGATTTGTAATTTCTTACTGAACAAGTTCTTTTACAGAAGAATCAATATTCCTAAGCTTTTTTTTATCTAGCAGACAATTATAATCATGAATGAAATGTTCCAGAAATAAATGCATGGAATAATGCTTTGGCTTCAAAGACTATAGATATAATTATGAATTATTTAACAATTGCTAAATTAACATTTACATTATAAATTATTGATGTTGTTAATGATAATGAGAATGTCAACTCATTGAAAAAGATAAAATAGATTATATTTTACTTGTTGCTAATTTGAAGAAAATAAAATTTTCATTTTCCCACTTAATCACATTCGACTTACGAAGATAATATAAAAATAGAAAATAAAAATTTTGACAATTTACAAAATTCCAAATGGTAAACTGAGGCTTTTTACTGTTTTCTAACACAAGAAAATATTTCTCTTACATTAAATTGATAATTTCATTATATTCTGATATATTATATCGAACTTTTAATGAAACAATCAATTTGATTTCGAAATACATCAATAACATACACATTAGTGACAACAAGTAACGTTAGCAAATAAAATCTATTTGAACAAGAATATTTTCTCTTTTCATTTCATTAATATTAAAACTCAACAAATTTTAATTGAATGCATTTACCAGTCCTGCATTCAATCGCATTAAAGGAACTTATAAATCAAATATTATCTGCACATCCATTTCTTCATAACTCAGGTATTGGAGCGTATCTCTGTTCCGCGCAATACCTCATTCCAAAGAAGTGGTAGCACAAGCAGAGCGTGAGGAGGGATACTCCTTCTATTATAGAAATTTACGCTAAAACTTTGTTCGATTTTAACATTTAGGAGAAATTTTCTCTCAGTTCCAGTAATCCTCCGCCTCCTGCTTTTGCCTGTTCCCTACACTTCTGTTCAAAAGCTTAACGTTATACCCAACTTGGATAAATATTTCGTGAAAAATCTTCGAAATGAGTAATATATATGTTGTCCGACGAAAAATCGTATCAATCAGTAAAATCTACTTCTCAGGTACGGGCATTAACTTCACGATGAATGAAACCAATATAAATGAAAAATTTCAAAACAAAATTTCTATAGATGAATGAATCTTTCATCAAATATTTGAATTCTTATATTTAAATTTCTTTTCTTTTCTCTTTAAATCCACCAATCTTCTCTACGTGATGCTTTAGGACTTATCTTTGTGCTCAAGATTATGTGTAAAATAATACAGTATGTTCTCATTTGTAATAGTATATATTTTTTCATACACATTTAGAACTATGATTTTCCTTCATTCTTTTGTCTGCTTTATAATACTTTAATTCTGTCTAAGGCAATCGACAATTGCCGATGGTTTTTATTTAAACAATAGTTGGAAACAAACGTAATAAAGGCATTTCTATATCCAGAAAATAGTCTTTGGAATTTTTTGGAAATCGAAAAACATTATCAAAACAAACATAACGCATTTTAGCACAATTGATTCGTGTTGCATCTCTCTCGAAATTGTCTGTTAGTAATCGTAAAGATTCGTAGTGAGCATTAAGACGAACATTATTTGGCAAATATAATTTAGTGTTAAGTAAAAATAGTTCGACATAATCATCATGAGTTTCAAGAAGATTGAGTTTCGTAAGATGAGGATATTTAATAATTAATAAATCTTGATTTTCGTTGTTTAATTTGTTTTTCTGTGGTTTTTTATTAATTAAAGTTAATTCTTTCATAAATGGAAATGACTGAGCAATTCGAAGAAAAAATTCATGTTCAAATGGACGTTCATCATGTAATGATACTTCATAAACAAATTTAAATATTCCACCTGGAAAATTATTTGAGACATTATCATAATGTTTTAATCTATATGGATGTGAATAAAAATGACAATAACTATAATGGTTATCTTGAAAATGATCGGCACAAGAAATAATTCGATTATTAATAAAATCTTTGAATGAATGTTGAATATCCTTATTTGATGGCACATTAGTTTGATTATAACTATAATTGTATAAACGAATATTACATGTAAATTGATTTAATCTTGACATATGATTGATAATATTCTTTTTTAAATCATTTCCATCAATAAATCCTTTATAATGATTGACCTTAAGACACAAATGTAGTTTTTCTAAATTCAACATTCGTTGTAAAAGTGGTACAATTAATTCATCGTAAACATGTGTTCGCATAAAACTACATAGAGAAAAACATCTTAGATTGCGTAGTTTTTCCTATATCAGACAATAAAAATCAATTTATTTCAATAAATTTGATATTATTGAAAAATTTATCTACCTCATTAGCGATTGTTAAGCTGGTAAACTTAATGTGAAAAATATTAACATGAAATGTACGAAGTTGTTGGAAGCGTCCATCAAGTAAATAAAGACAATCAGTGAAATAATAAACAGAGATATGTAATTCTAACAAAGTTGAAGACATAACAGTTGGAGGTGAAATGTCAAATGTTAATTGATAAAAGCCGATTGAAGATGGATAAAATTTTAAATATTCTAAATTGGTAAACATAGTAAAGATATTTGTAAATACAATATTATGGAGATATTGTGATGACAGTCCGTTATTTGTCACAAAATCAATAACAAACGATGATATTTGATTTGCGACTGTATGAGTAAATATATTATCATCTAAATAAAAATAACAAAAGTATTTAGCAAAAAAAACTATTTTTTGTTTAGTATTAATCAAATCATATTATTAATTTTGGTTTCATTCATTTATAACGAATAATCCTACATACAAATTTATACTTAGAATAGTCTCAATAATTTGCTCTACTCTATTATAAATATAATAATATGAATTATGTTCAATTATTAAATATTTCTCATTTATTCAAAATAAAACTAATCTAACTAAACAAACTAACCAGTAAAGATAGATATAGACTTTTTTATGTCAATACCATATAAACCAAGTCCATATAAATTAGGATAATTTGTAGCAAGAAGAATACGTTCCATATATATTGTTTCTAGATCAAGCCATTTGATCTTATGATGAATTGAAGGTAAAATTTCGAAAAATCGATCGACTATTTGATCAGGTAATGGTCGAATTTTATTATTCGATAAACATTCGTATAACGTCACATGACTTGTAAAATTTTGATCATGTGCAATTTTATTTAAACGTTTGTTGACATGTGTTAAAGAAAGAAGTACGTCAAGCTGATTTAATTTTTGAAAGATAATCATAAGAATTTCGTCCGGCAAATCATCTAACTGGATACATGAGTACGACGACATGTTTATCTTCATTTAACTGTTATATGATCTTTTGTGTGTGTATGACTGTTTATATACATATGCTCATTTCATCTTTGCGATCATTGTCAATGATCGTCAATGAAAACAATGACATACTTTTCTATATTCTCAATTGACACTCAATAAATAAATGGAAAAAAAAAATCTTTCTCCTTCTTTTTATTTTATATGTCGATGAACAACATTTACTGAATTTTGTTTTTCAATGATATTATAGGATAAACAAAATAAAAAAAAATATGGCTGAGAAAAAACTTAGTTGTTGCATATAACTGTTTTGACCTTCGTTGTTATCGATTGATAAGATTTTTATTGATGATCTTGCTGTTCACGAGTTCGTTCTTGATGAGAGGGTTGTTGAGGATATTGTTGCTGATGATTCAATTGTTGAAAATATGGTTGCTGATAATGAGGTTGATGATGATATGAACGTGGATGATATTGAATTCGGTTACCATTATTTTGTGCATCATATGCTGCTTTTGCTTGAAGAAATGCATCGAGTGGATTAATGATTTCAAGCGATGCTTGAACAAACCGAGGAATATTCATTGAAAAACATTGGTAAGTACTAAAACAACTAATGTTTCTAGTGATAAATCGATTAAAACTTACTTGTCAAAATTTATGTAATCATCAAAAGAGAACTCTTTCAAAAACATTCTCTCATCAACCTTAAGTTTAAAATAAATTTCATTTATCGTATTTGTTTTTTTCTTACTTGCATATAGGCACTATAAAGATCGCCTGTAATATCATGACTTGTAGCAATTTCGATACCGTATTTTGTATATGACATAAGAATACCATTTTGTCGACTTTGAAAAAATTCAGCATCTCGTGTGTCTAAAAGATTAAAAAGTTTAAGATTTACTTTTAGACATTTATTCATACTTCATTTTGTGACAATACATGAAAACCGTGTTTTATCAGCATGTAATGAAAGATCACGATTGGTTCATCTATACTTGATAAACAATATAGTCTGTAAAAGGATAAGAATGTTTCAAGATTCGGATATCAATCCATGTCTAGAAATAAACAAAAACTAGTAGTAGACCGATAATATTATGTTAAAAAATGGTCATTTGTATTATGGTCGATGTTTATTTAAATCTTTATTTCAGATTTTTGAAAAAAAAGAATTTTCGTTAACTCCAACGATTGAAGTGTTGCTGAATAATGACGTAGATATTATTCGAAAATAGTCATGAAAATTATATAGTTATATTAACACTTCTATTTACATCTGCACAATGTTTTATCGGTATTTAGAGAAAGAAAAAAACAACAACATACAATTTCGATTGATTTTGACAGCTCGGAACAACGACTACAAAAGCAGATATTTTCTGATATATTTAGAAGTCGATCTTGTTAAATAAGGCAGAAAAGTCGCAAAACGTCGAAAGTGAAATTATCGAAAATTATCAACTTTGCAACCATGACATCCGGATGTTACTAAAACTTTCATTGAACACGAGGTGTTACAATAGCCAACACACCTTAACAGAACGGCTGAAGGCGAAATCTGTACTTTTTACTTTTATAATGGAGATTTCGCAGAAAAATATTTCCACATTTTGCCTTTCGAGAAAAATAAACTTCGTTGAAAAACTTCGAAACACTACTAGGTCGAGCCAATTTTTTATGTCGCTTCGAAACATGTCATTAAGTTTGACTCAAAACAAGCTTTTTACTATGAAAATTTGTTATCCAATAATGAAAAATGGAAAACAGCATAGTGTCTAAAAAATGCAAGTTGGCTTATTTAACAACGATCACTTCTCAATATATCGAAAAATATCTGGCTTTGCAGTCGTTCTTCCGAACTTTCAAAACCCGTCGAAACTTCATGTTTTTTATTATTATTTATCATCATATTGAGAAAACAGTGTTCAGAGATGAATAGAAATGCTAATGTAACTATATAACTTTTGTCGTTATTACATACAATATTTACATCATTACTTAGAAATTATTTGAAGAAAAATGCCAATCAAACCCGAAACAAAAATTTGATCTAATGCATGTATTATTACCAATACCAAAATTGATTAGATGAGCGCATGGAATAAAATCTCTCGATTCATATAGTACAAAGCTCAACGAATTGAATTAATTGAGTATCAAGAATAAGTTAAGATGGTTCAATTGTTTCAATAACATATTTATTAAGATCAAAATTTTTTTTATATGCTGCAGAATTAATGACAAATAAAAATAAAAATAATTATTCTGCATTGTATTTTATTCCATACGAATATATTGATCAACAAATGGGATATAATACTAGTCGGAGAAAAAAAAGAATCAAACGTTTGTATAAAAAACTGATTAACAAACCAAATAAGTATGAGAAGAAAAAATAATAAAATAGGTTCATTTTATTCAAATGTACTATCATTATTTTCTAATGATGTACGAAGAAAATAATCATCAACACATATCACTGATTCAAACATAATTTCCATGAAAAAGATAAAAATATAACTATAAAAGTTTTACATGAAGATATGTCTTTTGAGTTTCAAAGTCTTACCCATTCATTCACTAATAAAAATATCAATATTTTCATTAAATTTATCAATATCTTTAAAATGTTTATTTATTATTTGAACACAATTTTGTAAACCATTGGATTTCATTGATTCTTTTGCTAAGTAGTAAATAACTAGAATAAACAAATGAAATTTTTTTAGTCTCAAAAAAATCAAAGATAAACAAAATCTTTCATATCTTGTACAAAATAATATCACTAACACTGACTCTTAAGTCAGTTGAAACAACAGAGAACATATAAATTATTCAAACTTAAATTTGAAAACAAAGGCTCAATATCCAAGGGGGGAAAAGCGGATTCCGGGATCCAATGGGATTTACGGGATCCCGCGGAATCTATGGGATCCGGTTTTCCCCCTTGTCAATATCGATGGAGACATCTGCTGATTTGAAAGCGTAATATCGAAATAAAAAAATCTTTATTATCAAATGTGACGTCGTTTTCTTTCTTCTCATTCATCGATAGATGGATAGGCATGTTACTGAGATGACGTATACGTTCGATGTGCCATAAGACTTGTGTGTTAAAGTTATTTTCCATTTATGTTCATTCTCTTCCGTTCTGTACACATACGTGTCGTTTACTATAGCTAGATCTTTTCTTTCGTTCTAACAGGTATTTTTCCTAGTACGTTCTCTTATTATCTCCTTTTTTTTCTTTCGTGATTGAATGTGATAGCTAATATATTTTTTCTAACTATGTTATGTTATCTGTTAGTGTATTCCACTTTTCCTCTAACGTCTGATATAAATACTTGTTGTTTCTAAGTGATTAGAAAACAGATAAGAAAGATTAGAAGTCAAACCAGAGAATGTGATCAAGAGAATAAAAGTGATGAAAGATTCAACTTAATAAATTATCACATATACGCATCAACGTATTATTACCGAATACAACAATTACATACATTCGTTGATTTGTTAATACAGACTACTAAAATATAATTCGTTCGTCTAAAAAGAAACAAAAAAAGCTTCCATATATGTATTTCTGAATCAATCAATACTTTGTTTCGTATAAACAAAATTATGATGATTCTATATTCGAGTCTTACGAATACTAGTGCGTGCCTGTTGAAAAACAATTTAAAGCTCCATTTAGTTGATTTTTGTCAAAAAAAAAAAATCTGAATCGTACATTGATCAGCTGCAGCTTTGAACTGAGATTGACGAAGATATATAAGCAAAATCAAATATAACTCTGACCATTGAGTGTGCATGTTTGTTTGTTTTTTGCAAGAAACTGACGACTTTATTAAATCCTTACAGTACAGAGGTGAAAAGTAAAAATATGAAGTAAAGAAAGAGGAAATGAAATACCTATAAGATCAGATATATGTACGTACGTTTCGAGAGGACTTTCAGAAAATGAATGACACATCAACTAACAGGTAAAGTGATTATATAGATACACAACAACAACAACAATTTTTTACTTTATTATTACGTTTAAAGGAACAGAAAAATATGAGCACTGTCAAAAAGTCTCCAGAAAGTCACTGAGAGTCATTACGTCTTCAATTTTATAATGTAAAATCGATTCATTCGAGGATATACCTGCGTACCAGGAGATACATGATTCCAACAACGAAAAATGCTCTACATATCGTTTTGATCTGAAAATTTCCTTTATACTATTTTCGCCCCACAGCCAAACTTCTCTAAACACATTTAAGTTCGCCTGCTTAAAAATTAACTCACCGTCTATAATATCTGATAACGCTGATACATATTTATTCCAATATCTCAAACATCTGTCCTCTAGCGATATTTCATCGAGTATGTATGAAAAGAAGTTGTCATTCCACTGTAAACAAAATAACATTCTTTTTAAACTTGTATAATAAAAATGATTTAAATCGTGTTGTTGCTTGACTGTAAATAATGGGAAGAGAGGAAACAACCAAGCAAACAAAGGAAGAACATAAGAGAAAAATAACGCTCTTCTTAACGCTGAGGAAGTCGTACCGGAGAAACGAAAAGAATTTATCATACTGATATGTTGTCTAATTTTCATCATACTTTTTCTAGTTAACGTATCAAAGCCAAGTTTTGGTGTGATCCAATAACCAAGATGTTTAAATTCATTTATCCATGGTATTTTCCGCCATATGAAATCTCAAATTTTGGTCTACCTATTGCCCTAGTCGACCAAAGTGCTTCTGTTTTTGTATAATTTATAGGTTGAATAGTTAGCACTGAATAAAATTCGGGATATTCAAAGAATAACTGTAGTTTACGTTCTAAGTCAATACATTGGTTTGAATGCTTCATGTCAATACTGCCTTCTAAAACTGCCGCTAGATTATCGGCGAAAGAGTAACTAAGACAAAAAGAAAGAAAATCCCCCATGTCGGCGTGATAACTAAGAAATAACGTGAGTGAAAGTATAGACCCTCGAGGACATCCTCTCAATATCTTAAACCACCTTGCTTGTTTTTCCGCCTATTTCGATGTACGCTCGTCTTCCTCTCAACTAAATATTTATTCACGTAAGATACCCTCTTGGTAGCTCCATTCTTTTTAACTTTCCAATACATCCATCGAACCAAAACTGGTCGAAAGCAGTTTTGAAATCTTTAAAAAACGCCGCCCCTGACGAGCTATTAGCCATAAGACTTGAAACCTGTTCAAGGAACAGTAAAACACGTGTTTGAAAGCGAAATTTGACCTGAAACCCAGATAGTGTATCTAGTAGAAGGCCTTGACACGTTAGCACCTTAGAGAAACGAGTTAAAAACAGTTTTTCGAGTATGCATGTTTTGTCAGATGATTGCATAAGATAACATGACTATGACTTAAAACACGGTTAGTTATTGAACTCATGAATTTGACTATACAATGTTTGACTTTTGTCGAAATTAATTAAAATATGGATTTAAAATTAAGATAAAAAACCAGCTGATCCACATCGATTGCTTTTGCTTCTTTTTGCTGCCATGTAGTATATTAATTTGAATTGTGTCTTGCACTAAAAATGAATTTTAGCAAATAAATTACATATAAAAAGACATGCATATATATCAGGGTTGCCACCTCTTCCAGTTTTTGTGGAAAGTTTCCGCTTTTTTCGCATTTTTTTTGCTTTTTTATATGAAAACTTTTTTCATATGTCTAATTCGTTACAGAAGAAAACCTGTTGTTATTGAATAAATTGTGATTACTGTCGTGTACAATTTGCTATTATTCTTATTGATTGATCTGTTAACTCAGTGTAACAACATTAATAGTTTGTCG